GGCCCCATCCGGGAGCTCCACCGAAGGCCCCAATGGGGGGGGGGGGGGGCTCCACCGAACGCCCTGGTGGCAATGTTTGTACGCGTTCCCCCGCTACAGACGCAAGTCATTGAAGGGAATCAAGGCGGGGGATTGGGCACGTTGGCGCCGCGGGGAGTTTGTTGCCGGGGTGCCTTTCCCGTTGTTTTGCCCAACCAAACCTTCTGAGACAACCGCCGACCAAATCTTTTGAAACAGCGGCAGTTGTTTCACATGATTCACGTCGACGCACTCTTCACACGAATCGTGGCCCGCCGACGGCCCGGGCGGTAGCTTTTGCATGGCGGTGCCGCACCCACGCGCGTTTCGCCCCATAAGAACCCCATCCTCTTTCGTCCCGCCCGCCACGCGGTGCCCTCGCTTGCACATGGTTGGATTCTTCGCTGGAGTAGTTTGTTTCAGCGGCTTGTAATTCTTACCGCATTAATGGGTGACGTCATTATGTTGGGTCCACGCTTGAGTTTTTTTTGTTTTACATCGGATGTCTTAGGGACGGATGTTTCGCGAGTTGCTGCGCTTGCTGAGCTGCAGTTGGAGGGGGAGGGCTGGGGGGAGTGATAGGACGAAGAGGGGTAGTGCGAGGAGCAGTAAGGGGAGTGAAACGAGGAGCGGGAGGGAGAGTTGAGCGAGGAGGAGAGAGGGGTGAAGGGAAAACGGAGCGGGAGGGCAGACGAGGAGGGGGAGGCGGAGGCATAGGAGGAGGATGAGGGCGAACACGTGAGATGGGAGGGAAGACAGGATCATCAGAGGAGGAGGAGGAGGAGCGGGGGGATTTCCCATCGAGTGCCAACCGCCGCACAGACCACCCCTTCGGCGCGACGGGGACCGGTGCCCAGACCAGAATGCGTGTTGAGAAGACGGGGGTAATTACCCCCGTCTGCTCAACACTCGGTGGCGCCGCCGATTGTTGAGAGCTATGGGGGTAAGACCCCCACTGGGTGTTGAGAGCGCGGGGGTACCCCCTCGGGACCTGCCCATCACACGCACCCCCGTGGATCTCAACACTCGGTGGCGCCGCCGAATGTTGAGAAGACGGGGGTAATTACCCCCGTCTTCTCAGCAATCGGTTTGCTTGATCGTCGAACGCGTGCTGAGACGATCGCGCCCGTCTTCTCAACGTTCACTCTGTTCTTGGCAGGCTATCAGATATCAGGCTAGACTTAGAGCTGCCCACCGCTGGCAAAGCCAACTCCCCGGGACAGCGACTACCAAACTGGAGGGGCAAGTCAAGTCAAGTCAAGTCCGGTCGAGGAGCCTATGGAGGCCCCTCGCTCCGCAAGCGGAGACGGAGGGCATAAGACACTACGGCAGTGAAACGCGCATGCAAGAGAAAATTGGCTGATGCAATTAGGTGAAACATGAATCGTAACCGGTAACCGGGAACTGGAGAGGGCGAAAACCGTAAACTAAACGAACCCTGAGGATGATGGTGGGAGGAAATGTACGACGGAGAGGGGGATCAAATATCACGTGTTAAACTTAGAGCGCATGTGGTCCGCCTTCGCGAACTTGGCAACGAATTCGGGCCCGGTGAAGGCACGCTCGTTCCCACGAAACTCGACCTCAAGGTGATGCAAACGCCCCGCCCCGCCCCCCCCCCTCCCCAAGCCTAAACATGTCCCAAGTCCATGGGGATGGGGGAGGCGGGGAGAAGGAGGGGGGGAGGAATACGAGGGTGAGGGGGAGGGAGGCAGATGAGGGCGTACTGGGCGGGGGGGCGAGGATCGTGCCGGTGATGATGAGCAATACGTTCACTGGAGACGTGGGCCCATCTCGGGAGCGAGTTGGGGAGATGAGGGGGGAAGGAAAGATGGGGAGGGGAGGGGAATGAGGAGGAATACGCTTTGTTCTGGACCCACGGCCTTGGACCGTCTGTCTAACGCAGTGATCAGGGCGATCACGCCGAGGCCTTTCTTGTTGGCAGTGTGCTGCCGGACGTACATGTCGATGTCGGGCAACTCTGTGAACTTGTTACCAGCGAAGCAGTGCATGCACATGACAAACACATCGTAAATGGGCCTATGGTTGAGCTTAAAATCATCTGATACATACACTTTTCGAGCTGTGCTGAGAGCTGCAACGTACTTAATGCAAACAGCACGGCCGTTGTTTAGAAACAACGCACGGTTCGCCATGATGCCGCCTTTCAGGAACGCGCTCCAAAATGGGCGCGACCCTGGGCGGGTACATGCAGGCTCGCTCACGAGGAAAACAGTTGCTTGCCACACATTGCGCGTGTGCTGCAAAGACCACGCATGCAATGCTGGAAAATCATCTTGTGATTCTGCCCAACAAGACTGGTAGCGCAGATCTGCCTTTGTAGGCAAATCTCCGCCTTGCTGCATCTCCATCTGTCTCACCCCAGCACGCTCCCGTGCACGCACTCGCGCTTCCCGCGCAGCTGCCTCTGCATCCGCGATCTGCTGGATGCGTGCAGCGGGCTTGTTGTGTACTCTCTCGGCCTCGGCTTGCACGCGTCTGCTCTTCAACTTGTCTTTGGCGAACTGCAACTCCTTCTCGTGCTTATCAGTCCAAGACGTTGAAACATCAAGCTCTCTGATCCTCTTCCGGGTCGCGTTCAGGTCCGGCTGTTCATCTCCAGCTCCGTCTCGAAGTGGCATCCGGCGCACATGCAGAAAGTGTGCTTCGCTACCCTCTCGAAGCCGCTGTCTCCGACGCCCGCGGTCCATGCGCACGGCCCGCGTGGTCGAGCGGGGGACGCCATAACACTTGATCCACACTGCTTGGGCAACCTGGCACAAGTCGTCAAGATTGTCACGCTTGGCATCTATTCTCAGTTTCAAATAGCTCCACTCAAGGTCCTCCAGCGACGTCTGCCGATCTGTGACAGCGACCTGGCCGAGCGTGAAGCCTTGTTCCACCCCGCTCGTTGATGCACAAAACGCCAACCATCTCTCCAGCACGGGCAACAACGCTGAACTCGGATGCGAGCGCCGCACCTCCGCGCGCTTGCCGCGAACCCGCAGCACTGCCCGAGTCCACGCCTGAGCCGGTGTTGATGTGTGCCTTCATCCTCAGTGGGGCCTGCGATAGGGGATCTCTAGGCTGGCTGCCCCTGAAGATGGCGGGCGACCTCGTGCCGATCATTCCAGACGCGCAAGTCATGATCCAATATTTCAGGCCCCAATAAGGAATCACGCGACACCCACCCCGACTGCCTCCTTGTCCGTGCAACTGGTGAGCTGGACCTCCAACAAGGCCGCGTCGCGGAAGACGTTGAACTGCGCGAGGAACTCGGCGGGGGGCACGTCGCACGCCTTGGCGAGGATCTCCACATGCTTGCCCATGTCAACGTGCGTGGGTCTTGATTGGTCTCTCGGTAAACCGAAGATCTCGAAAGCCCTGGCAACCTCGAAATGCGGAAATTCCGCTGATATCTCTGCCTCTGCCAACTTCAGCCAGGCTCTGCAGCGGCCGATGCAATATTCGATATCTGCTTGGCTCGGGGCGTGCAACGAGTAGGCGTGGCCCTTGATGACCCAGACGAACGGCCGCGCCTCGAGCATCCGCAACACGAATCGCGTGTAGCCAGGGGCAGTAAGACACTGCTGCGCCTCGCCGAACAACCTGTCGCACCTGTACAAGAATAGCGCGATCTCGCGGCTCAACTGGCTCACGTCCAGTTTCTCGGAGTCGCAGTGCCGAGTCAGCGACATCGTCTCGTCTGCGATGTCCGCCATGAGCGCCGTCCTTAGGCGTCAGCATGCCAAAACGGCTGGAGGAGGGGGGCGGGGAGAGGAGGAGGAGGGGGAGGAGAGGGAGGAGGAGGTGAATGTCAAATACCAACGGAGGGAGGGAGGATGATGCGGGGGTGGAGGGAAGAGGGGGAGGAGGAGGATGCGGAAGAGGAGGAGGAGGAGGAGGACAAGGAGGAGGAGGAGGAGGAGGGGGAGGAGCAAAGACGCTGCGAGAGGAGAAGAAGAAACCGACCCCGTCGCACCATCGATCGCTCGGCCCAGGATCGCACGAACCAGCGGCCAGATCTCGAAACGTCTGTCGCGGACTAGGTGTGGGGCATAAGCAAGTGTCTTGGGGTCTCACCTACAAAATTCAGGAACGCGATCGCCCGCCTGCCCTGGAAATCTGTCCGGGACACTGCCAGACGAATCATGAGCTTCAAGATGGACGGGAAATATCTTACAGCCCTTCCAAGCGGCTTCTGGAAGCTTTCAAACCGGTGTTTTGCTGCCCGGAGGTTCCCCGCCTCCCGCCGGCCCGGGAAATCTTGCCTCAAGATCTGCTTAAGCTCGCTCCGCAGCTCGACAGAGTTCTGGATCATTTGAGCTGGGGATGCTTTCCCCATCGCCACCCGCACCGCGACCTGGAAGAGGTAGTCGTCGGCCCTCCACGGCCGGCTCAGGATCCTCGGGCGGCGGCGGTGGCAGGAGAATTAGGCTGCCCCCCCCCCCGACGTTTGGTTGCGATGGGAACCTCAGCTATAGCGACAGGCGAGCGACGAGCGAAGCTATCGAAGCGAGCTGGGCTGTGCGACAAAAGTGTTATGTGAGTTCCCCTCAACAGTGCTTGCGCCCGGTGGGTATTCGCCACCGCTTGTCCTGGGGGTCTGGGAGGGGTCCCGGCTGAATTTCCTGGCCATATTGGTTTAGCTGCCCCATTTGGAGTAAAAACAAGTGTGCTAGTAACCGTGGTCGTAGTCGTAGTAGTAGTAGTAGTAGTCGTAGTAGTAGTAGTAGTAGTAGTAGTAGTAGTAGTAGTAGTAGTAGTAGTAGTAGTAGTAGT